CAAGGACTATTTAATTCATTTCCATATGCCCTGGAAAACAGTGATATCATTCACATTTATTTGCTACTTACTATATTCTAGGCCCTAGGCTAACACACATTACATAGATTTTTCTAATTTGATTCTCACCCTAAGAAGTGGCTACCATTATTAACCCCAATTTGCAGACACAAAAACGAATACTCAAAGAGGTTAAGTAACTTATTTAAGATGATCCAGTTAACACGTGATGAAGCAAGGACTTGAACTCAGCAAGGACTTGAACTCAAGCAGCCTGCTCTAGAACCTACCCTCTCATGCACACACTGCTGCATTGACAATGTGTCAACGAATACATAAAAAATCACTTGCTTGGTGTACTTTACTAGTTTCCAGTGGATCAATTTATTAGGCCAAAAAGGTGTTAGTTAAGAAAAAAGATTCTGAATTTGGAAGCTACTTTTGTTGAAAGCACAATGCATTTTAAATTATTTATTTTAAGATAAATTATATAAAATTAACAAAATCATCTTAAGCTGATGAATATCCACAGATTTATCTCCTTAAAACCTTTAAATTGGCATCATTGAGGATTACTGGAGAATATTCATGGTAACTACAATAGAAAAACACTTTCTATTATTACAAATTATTATAAAAACGTTAAAAACTGGTCTGAGTGTTTCACCAAAGCCAAAGAACAAGCCAAATAAAAAGCAATAAAACAAACTTAGGCCACATATATCTGCCCTGAAAAACAGAAATCAACATATCTAATATTGAAAAATAGTGACTGTAAGAAATTAACAACAGTCTTCCTTAATACTAGCAGAGTATTGGGTTGTAAACTCATGAAGAAAGAACTAAATATTGTATATAAATCTAAAATTTAGTTTTGAGTTCCTGCTTTTGCTTCTGTGCAATTTAGGTTTGAATTTTATTTAATGTGCTCATTTTTAAAGGGTCAAATAATCCTGCCCCAAAAGAGAAATACTTCTAGCCACTACTTCACTACTTTTTTTAATAACAATAATTTTTATTTGGATATTGTGGGGTACAGTTTAGGGTTAGGTATACAAGTATGCTTTGTTCAGGCACCCTTGTTGATAAGGGGTGTCTCCCTGTCACTACTTTTTTAAAAACCCTATTTGTTTATGTGTATTTGTTCATTCGTTCATATAGATAAGTTTATTTTAAAATATTTATGTTTGTTCCCATAAAGGGACTTAGGTAGGTCTGCTAAGGTTAAGAAAAGAACCAATATTTATTGAGTGCTTAAAATGTGCCAGGCACTGTTCTAAGTGCTTTACAGGGATTCCTTCATTGAAGTCCTCCAACTGGTCCCCTCTAGGAGGTAAGTATGTTTACTATCCCCATTCCACAGAGGAAAACGGAGTGAGGAGAGGTCGGGTACGCTTGTGCAGGGTCACACACAGCTGAGATTTTAACCCAGCTGACCTCAGACTGCTCCCTGACCCATGAAGTTCTCCCTGGAAACTTCCAAGGAGACAGAATCAACAGCCCCACTTTCAACTTTCAGTTCTCGTTCATATAATGATCATCTTATAAACAGTTACTGAGCATTACTGAGTTACTAGAATGGGCACCCAGAAGTCTCTGACATGACAGACCGGGGCTGGGAAACCAGCTCTGCCATTCCTGGCTGTGGAAACTGGTGCAGGCTCACGATACAATGAGGATGAGAATGCCTCAAGGAGCAGGGATTAATGAGATCATTTATGTAGCACAGGATGGCACATGAGTATTATTATTTTTATTATCACAAAGTCCCTGCTCTTGAGAAGCTGTGGTGGAAGGATAGGAAATCATGTGAATAATGACAAAACAGTCCAGAAAGTTCTATAAACGAGGATTATTCAAATCACAGCAGAGCCTTGAAGAGGGGTAGGTGGGTATAGAGAGAATAACAAGGAAAGACAAGCAAATGGCAGTTAAGTTGAGGAGGGAGTTCTCCATACAGATGCAGATGTTCCATCGTTTGCAGATTAAACAAATAACATTTATTGAGTACCTTTTATGTGCCATATACTACATACCCATATACTACATACCACTTAATGCTGATAACACCCTGAGGTGTTGACATTTCGGTTGGTTCTGATGAGAGCTTAGTGTTTTCCTGCATCTGAGTAGGGACATCATTTTCAGTCCAAAGATGGTGGTCTATGTGCGATGACTGACAGCCTAGCGAGAGCCCTTGTGTTTGTGTTGGTGCCAAGGAGATGCACATTTGCATTTGTGTGACACTATGAGTCACAGCTTAAGAAGGGGACCTTAATACAATGTGAATTTTATGAAATTCACGGTAAATTTTTTATATTTACAAAAGCAGTAATACCGCACAGGTCTTCTGTGTCATGTTCTCATCGCTTGTAGCGATAACCTTTCTCCTGTGCTCCAGGAGTCTAATGAACGTGCAGAGGATATGAAACTCACTTTTCTTTTCCACCCAGAGCTGGACCCTTGCTCTGCTCCCATCTCAGTGAAAGTCGCCTGTATCAGCCAGGAGCCATCCTTTCTATAAGACAATCATCTGGGGTTTGCTTTCACTCGACCACCTTGTCCATCCTGATGGCTCTCACTTCTCTTTCCCAGACGCTCCTGCTCTCTTGCCTGGTGGGCTGCACGCTCCTTCCTTCCACTCTCCTTGTCTCTAGTGTCTCCTCTCACGGTCTCTGTCAGCCACAGTGCTGTTTCAGCCACTGTTCTAAAATACAGGCAGAATTCTTCTCTACTGGAAGTTTGCAAGGATTCCCTCCTGCCCGCTGAGAAAGACCGAGGCCTCGCCATGATGCGCTCGGGCTTCTGCTCTCTGGCTCCACCCTACTTTGGCAACACCAGCAAGACAACTGCTCTAGCGACACCGGGCCACTAGCCCAATCCTACGACTAGGGACCTGATCTCCTCCCAATGCTGAGGACTCCTCAGAGCCCATCTGTGTATACACAGTTTCTATCCACTTGCATTTTCTCCAACCTCTCTGATAGACTAATCCCTATAAGATTATTATCAATTTTCTGTTTTCTCCTCTGGACTTCCACCAAATTTTAAAAGACTCATGGCTAAGAGATAATAAAAGCTCAGAAGGGTATCTAAACGTGGACGCCTTAGCCTTAGCGGTCCCTTCACTGCAGAAGTCAGTCTCCTCTTGCACCCCCAGGGGCTGCACAGGCCACCGCATCAATGCCAGTGAGCTCTAACCATGGTCAGCATTTCCTTATCCAATGCTGGGATCATACCTATGTGCTCTGGGTGCAGAGACAGTTTCTGTTGGAGAAACAAATCAATGGTGTATCAGTCAGATAATGTAAAGATAATATCCATACAGATTTTTTTGCTTTTCTTTAGAAGCATGCTATTTTTCAAAGACAATCAGTTGAATTTTCATGGACAATTCTGAATGTGCTTTATCAAATTTAACCACTCTTGTTAACAAAAATAATCATAGCGAGCAAATTATTTTGATAAAACATATAAATAGAAATATGCTGATATTGGTAAGATATTAAAAATTCTATTCTATTTCACTAATGTACATAAGGCCTTTATCAGATCTTCCTCAGTCAGATCTCTGAAGTACATCTGCAGCTTAAAAATAAAAAATGAAGAAAGTTCAGTGATTAGCACTCAATCAACCCATTTGGGAGATGATTTATACAACTTAAATGATCATTCCCGACATATCAATGCTTTGAAGAAAAAAATGTTTAGAACATTTAAGGAAAAAATAAAAGTATGATGAAAACTGGTGAAGACTCAATGTGCTTTGCGTTGTGGAATAATTTACTTCTGTTTCCAAATATCTACCTGGGGTTTAAACCAGGGCCTTAGTTGCAAGAACAGTATGATATAATTGAATGAATGACTGGTCCAGGGTAGAACATCATCATTAATTATTGTCTAAAAGTAAATTTTAATCCAGAAGAGCTTCTTAACAATTAGAGCTGTGTTCAGAGATTTTTTTAAAAAATCCCTTTAACACCAAATTGGTATAAAAGTTCCAGTGATTCTTCTTATCTAAAAAGTCACAAGGTAATTATTTTCATCACTTTCCTTTATTGAAGACCCAGTGTGGACAGATGCTGGCCAACTGTCCTCCCACGATTTGAAAAAGAACACTTTTTTTCAAAAGAGCAACTTGCTTCTTATTTCAAGTTTAAAGGTAGGGCTCGATTCCAATCCTATAGGAGTTTCTCAGCAGGATTCTCATCCTATGCAATCTGATAATGATAGATCACTCGTTCTTGTTTATTTTAAGAACTCTCCCAACAAGTTAGGTTTCACCCCATAAATGTTCTTAGTGAAAGATATTGTAAATAGAGTATGCACTTGCAAAGATAGCACATGATTTAAAAAACTCATCTATGGTCCTATGGATGTAAAAGAGCGAGTCAGATGGTTATCTCAAATGTCATCCAACATCCTGGACTGCAACAATGTTCCAGTCATGATGTTAAAATAGAAAACCTTTGCAGAGCGTTAACCTATCATTACATAGAGTAAATGGCATAGCTCTGCCACCTAATTAGCAGTGTGGCTTGCATATGTAAAATAGAATTAGCACGACTGCTCCTTTTTTATTATTAGTTTGTGTTTCCAGAAAGGTGTGACCTTATCTGTATGGTTCCATTCATTTCTGCCCATCCACAAAGGATTTAATTATGTTCTTTTAGGTCTCTACACTAAGGAAATTGAAAACTGCCACTTCAAAATTAAACATGTAAAAGAAATTAGTGAGCAGATTATTTATGCCATCGCCCGCCTTCTTTCAGAGATAAAGAATGAAAGCATGCCTAAATAAATAAGGGCTAAAATTTTCAGAGGAGTTAATTCTAGGCAAGGAAATGATTACTAGTCCTATGTTCCTCTTTCCTACATGTATTCAGCAAATTTCTCTAGTTGTCTTGGGTGGAACTAGTCAAGAGGAAAATGTCTCAATACTACAAAGTTCCTGAAAGTGAGACTGCATTACAGTCAACAGCCAGAAAGTATCCACTTACATCTGAGGCAGGTGATTCCAGAACAATGCCAAATCCTAGGACATGGCTCTCCTCCGCGGAGGTGTGCTCAATTGCTTGGAGACCAGACTGCTCAGAGGCCACTGCTGTCTTCTTCTCCATTTCTGAACCGCAGGGCTTCTGTTTCACAGTAAGAGGTTCAACAGTCTTTGGGGGCACTTTTTTCTTCTTATTTCTCTTGCGCGAGACAGTAGTTCGCTGGGAGCATATAAGGGAAATTGGGGGTTGTTGTCTGTTTTGAGTTCCAACTGTAAACAATAAACAAAAATATGGTACAGGCACGTGTGTCTGACTTACGATGACTTATTCCTGGTCTATCTATGTGTTCTACACACCAAAAGTCCAACGAGGCTCACTCCAGGTAAATCTTCCATGGGACCTAAGGTTACCAAAGGCTCGGGAGCACTTTAGAGTCCTAAAGGCAGAAAAGCACCTGGGGGGGAGGGGTGGGGGGAATGACTTTGCTCCAAATGCTGATGAATCATGACAGTTCACTGCTGGGTTGAATTCAGTGTAGGGAAAGGATTATCTATGAGAAAACACCTGAGTATGACTTTAAAAGTCACATGGCATTTATAAGGTAATAAGAAGTCTGGAACATAAATTTAGGTGGAGATGTCCAGGCTTCCTGGTATTCCCATTTCAGGAATATTCCAATTGTCATTTGAAGTTAAACAGTTCCTAACAAGCTACAGGTGCCAAAAAGGACACAATGATGATCATTTGGATAAGACTGATCAAAAGAAGTAGCTTGAGATGATTCTGTAACAGTAGTAACTAAACAGTGGGAAAAGTCTTTTAGTTACTTAATCAGGTCTAGTAACTCCTTCCTTACCAAACAAATACTCTCCACCCATCAACTATCTCCAAAGTACAATGGTACATGGTTTTAACCAGGCTGCTTCTCTAGACTTCAGTTTTACATAGCTGAGAGACAGGAGCTCTATAGTTCTGCACACATCAAGCAAATTAGTAAAATCTAGAAAGTTTGAGTTCCAAAGATAAAAAGCACAGTACAAGGACCAAGCACACATACTGAACTCAAAGAAATCCAGGATGGTCAGTACAGTTTCGACAAGCACACTCTGAGAAGCAACGTCTGTTAACCATTTTATGTGTTTATTTCATTATATTTTATTTTTTTAGAGATAGTTTCTCGCTGTGTTGCCCACGCTGGTCTTGAACAACTGGCCTCAAGCAATCCTCCCACCTCAGTCTCCCAAAGTGCTGGGACTACAGGCATGAGCCACCATGCTGGGCCTGATAACCATCTAAAAATATTCTGATAGAAAGTGCAGTTGGAAGACATGGCACCATTACTTAAATCCTCATGTATTAACGTGGCTTTCTGAATACAACCATAGGACATGCCTGATTTTTTTTTTTTTTTTTACAGAAATGAACCTACAAATTGAAGCCAAGTGAAAACTAAAGGCCTTGAAATGCACAGCAACATGGACTGTTTCCTCTTACTTATTTCCTATCAGATATCAAATAAAGAATATTTACACTTTGATCCTGATATTTTTGTCTCCAGGCTGGAAAGCAATGTATAAGTATTAGAACGAACTACATAAGAGTGCAGAAAAGTTTTTTAAACCAGTAATTAATCTAGCTCACTGGTTCTTGACTTCGGCTGCACGTTCGAATCACTCCTGGAATTCAATCAAAAACTGCAATGACTTAGTTCCACCCCAAATTAAGTGAGTTGCCATTTCTGGGGGCGGGCCTGGGCAACAGTATTGTTTGAAAACTTCTTCAGCAAGTATATTGTGCACAGCTGGAGGTGACAACTTCTCTCTGCTTTACCTGCATTCTCTTTCAAGGCTGGGTCTGTGGCCCCAGAGACCAAGGAACCACAAAGCAATGATCATGACAGTCTAGGCTGCACGCTTCTTAAGCCTCATGATCCTAAATTACAAGTGAAATCTTTGGGGTTTCAAGAATGCAGGGACTGAGTTTTCCTTCTCCTTTTGTAATCTAGACATAGTCCACGTTCCTGGCATCTAGATGTTACTGCTTGATCTTATTCCATGTCTTCTCCTTAAAATAAAGGGAAACTTTCTAAATGTAATTTAAATCCAAGTCTTCAGGCAATAAACCTTAAGTAAATCTACCCACACGACACAAGTTTTGAAGTCAAAGAGAATTAAAGGAGAGTAATTTATTCAGTTTATCCTTTGTGCCATCCTGCAGCTTTGAAATCATTTACCTCCCTAATCTGCAAAGGTTCAGAAAAGAAAACACAGTGACAAAGTGGCATTTACTTAATAGATTCCAAAAAGGCTTCAGTCAAGGATTTAAATGGTTGCAATTTGTAGTTTGCCATTTCAGTAGTAAGGAGCTTAAGTGACAAAATAAATCATTACAATTTTATATGCATATTTTCTTAGATGCTAACAAATTCTGCCTTTGAGAAAAGAATTCACACATGGTAAAGCAACTCTCGTTCTGCACTCCTTATTCCTTATTTAGGAAATGTTAACCTTTGTCAGGTTAATAAGAACACAGGTTATCAGCTGGGCATGGTTGTTCATGCCTATAATCCCAGAAATGAGGTCTCACCACATTGCCCAGACTGGTCTCGAGCCCACGGGTTTGAGACCAGTCTGGGCAATGTGGCGAGACCTCATTTCTACAATAAATCAAAAAGTTAATTGGGTGTGGCAGAGCATGCCTGTAGTTCCAACTACTTGGAAGCTGAGGCTGAAGGATCATCAGAGCCCATTAGGTTGAGGCTGCTGTGGCCATGAGACTTCGACTCAAAAACAAAACAAAACACACACAGGTTATCATGGTAGAACTGGCTGAAGCCAGTGCTTACAAACCTGAGCAAAAGTCATATTGCTTCCTTGGGATCAAACCAAATTCAGTACTTAAAAGATACTGCTTTTCAGGATGTAGCTCACCTTACTTCAAGCGTGATCTTGGGTGACTGATATATGTAAGTATTAAGCTTTTTATATCAAAACCATATCACTGAATGTTAAAATTTGAGTAGAATTCACTACACGACACCAAGAATAGTTTCTGAACGATGACTTCTTAAATACCTGAATGAAAGACCAGACAACCAGCCATGACACAATAGATCAAGCAGCAGTTTGCCTTGACAAGAGGGAAGCCTTAATAAAATGATATATTATTGATTCGTTATTTCTTGAACCTGTGACAAAAAAAAAAAATTGTTTCCCTCCCAATTGTGAAGATTTGAAAACTCAGCCACTATATGAAAACCTAGACTTCCAGACTTCTATAGAAGGCTCCACCATTTGTAAGGCAACACTAACAAAAGAGCCCGTGCTTAAAAAGTTAATTCGCATTTACTATCTCATTCTATTTTGAAAACAACCCTCTGAGTTAGATATTAACACTCCTTTACAGATAAGAAACAAGAGGCTCAGAGAGGCACATAGCTATCAAAGAAGGTGGCATCCAGTTCCAAACTACAATCCACTGGCTCTTCTATTCTTCAGCTTGCCTAATGGTCGTGACAGCAAAAAGAGGAGTCACATAAATCAAAGAGTCTCTGAGGTTCTGCTTCCTGAACGTGAGAGAGAGAAGCCATTGGCAGAGCCCGGGCTTAACGTTTTTTGTCTGCTTACATCTTGAACATCTTCAACGGTGAAGCCCATGACTCCTAAAGGATCCTTCACATATAATTGTTCCAGAATTTAATTAACTGACATTTGTGAAGTATCAGGAGATCAGGGGATGAAGTATACTGAGTACACATAGGTAAGTATATGAGATGTATTAGCAGCCATAAAAAATGTGTTTGATTTGCTAACGAAAGAAGGGGTTGCAGAAGAAGCTGAGACAATGAATGCTTGAAAAGGCACTGCAGGACAGCAAGGTGGAGAGAACAGGGTAATAAAAGCACAATGAACATCCCAACTGAAGATGTCAGATATGCATTAAAAATCAAAGGACTCATTCCGAGACCTGATCCTTGTACCTGCTTGAATTTGCATTAATTTCCTCATGGTCTTGAGTTCTTGGAGAATGGCCTGCAACGTTGACTGGCAGTTACAAGTACAGCAGTTTGAGCCAACTGATGAATTCACCGCTGGAAGGTCTCCTGAGCATGAAAGAAAAGAATGACATACTCCAAACAAACCAAAAAAAAATTACAGAGAGGAAAATAAAAAAAGAAGGTATCTTGACAGATTTTGAAGCATGTGCAGCTATTATGAACTGTGCCTAAGGAAAATGCACTCACTAATTTTCACAACCTAAATTTGGGGGTCTGACTTTATCTAATTACCCAGACTTCTGTACTGGAAGGTGCGTGCTGTGTCACAGTAGCGAAGCCTGTGTGAACACACGCACACAATACACGGGCACAGCAGGCTTCCCTGTTGTCAGACCTGTTCATCTTGGATGACAATACCACAAAGACTAACGCTAAACACACTCATGCTAGTTCAAGCAAAAAAACTAGCACAGAGGACAGCCTAATAAAAAAATAGTAGCTAGTTCTTACTAAGAAGCCAATGAGTCTAGCTATGAAAAAAACACAGAACTATGCACACATATTCTCTGGGTGTGGTGTCCGGGGTGGGAGGTGCACGGGAACAGGAAAGGGAGGATGTCTTTTAGCCCGATGTCATAGAGGATGTTTTAGTTGATTTCCAACTTAATAAAGGAAACCCTTCTATATCTTTCTTCATTCTCATTTCTGACATCTCTCTCACCATAGCCTCTTCTTTGCTGTTTAAATTTAATGCCTTTTCCTTAATAAAACTATCCTATTCTGCTGCCCTTATATGTAGACAAATACCTGCTTACTGTCCTTGGAATGAAATGGAACATTTGAAAATTGCTCTGACAGTGGGGTTCCTTCCAGCACCATGTTCACCCCTACTCCCCTAAAATGGAGCCGTTTAAGAGACTGCTACCACTTAGGTTTGCTCATCAGGGAGCAAGGGAAGTTCTCTGGCTTTGTTCCAATTGTATGTTTTATTATACATTCCATGCAAATTAAATCAGACAATATGCATCATTTGAAAATACTATAGAAAACCCACCATAGCAAAACCATGAAACACTTAAAGATAACTTAATGTCTGGAGCGGTACAATTATTTACATTCAAAATTGCAGCAAATTGAAATGTTACAACTTTAAAATTCCACATAATTCCAATGAAATACCAAAGTAGTCACAGTTATACATAATGCATTTCTATTGAAAGTATACGAGCAGTATCTATTCTCAAACTGATATGGGGGAATTGATGTTTGTAACTTTTCTTATCATTAATAGCATTTTCCCAAGTAAATCTGCCATCCTGGCTGTATCCTGGGAAATAGAACACTGTTTACCCAAAACTTTTCGATGTGGGGTTTACTTACGCCACACATACGTAGGAGTATTTTATTTCTTATGGTCCCTTCCATGGTAGCAGAGTCAGGAAGGCCTTAGAGGATATTTCTAGTCACTATTCTAAGTACGATCTTTATCACTTTTGGAGGACAAAACCAATGCTTTCTGCTTGTTATAAATCATTTTTTACTTTTAAAGAGAACAGACTTTTTATTTTTATGGAGGAATCTTTAAAGAACCCTCTCCTTCTAACTTGGAAGTTTGCCAGCATGTGAACTTGATATTGGCTTATGTAATATTGAGAGGAAGAGAAGACACCTGTACATCTCTGGGGTCCCTTGCTGTCTCATCAGTGCCTCAGGCTGGTTTTTCATGCCTCTGAACAGGTTACTGAAAAATCACGTTTAGAAAAAAAATCAAAATCGTTCTCTTTTTCTTAAGGATATTGTGAAATGAAAATGAATGGAAAAGAAATCCTTGACTTTTCAAGGAAACTGAAAATGTCTTTTATCTTTTTCTTGCTCTCTTTGTGAAAACTATGGGTCTGCACATGTATATATAATTTACAGAATAAATAACATCCAATGTCACTGGATGGAAAACAAATATGACCAGAAAAAGCATCAGTTTTTTTCCCCTTAATCTTTGAAAAAAAAGTTGTCATTTGATCTTTTTTTTCCTTAACAACTGGGGAATTTTAATTAAGGAAATGTTACAATAAAAAAATATTTCTCAGCCCTAGTGGAGCAAGTTAAAAAATATGGATCATCGGGTTCAGTGCTGGAACGAAGGTTGAGCCAGGGCTGTGAAGGATACTGGGTTATTGGCCCCCGCTTTACCTGGGACACTTCTGATAACAAGAAAGTGAAGGAGTAAGCCAAAAGTTACATTAATAAAACACCGTATGACCAGAAAGTTTCTTTAATGGCAAAGCGGGGGGTCTTTCTGCCCCAGTGTGTTCAGCCTCTGTGATGATAATATCTGCACATTGGCAAATGGTAGCTTTAACTTCTTAAAGGGCTGAAATCTCCATTAGGAAGTCTTCACTCATCAGATAGAGCCCTCGATCTTTCCTGATTCTTAATTCTGACTTTTTAAAATACTCTTCAACTTTTTCCTTTATGTCTTCCCTGGCTTTTAAAATAACTCAGTGAAGGCATGTGACTAAGGGAGGTTTAGTACGTTGATCTCAAAGAACATACTTTTAATATTTAGAAATAAAACGAGCCAGGCTCGGTGGCTCAGCCTGTAATCCCAGCACTTTGGGAAGCTGAGGTGAGTGGACTGCCTGAGTCCGCAGGTTCGAGACCCACCTGGGCAACTTGGTGAGACCTCATCTCTACAATAAATCAAAAATTAGCCGGGCATGGTAGCGCGCGCCTATAGTTCCAGCTCCTTGGAAGGCTGAGGCGGAAGGATCACCGGAGCCCAGCAGGTCGAGGCTGCGGTGGCCGGGAGCGGCCACTGCACTCCAGTCTGGGCGACAGAGTGAGACTCCAACTCAAAACAAAAAAAAAAAAAAAAAAAGAAAAGAAATAAAACGTGCCAGTACAAACCCCTCTGGGTGTATTCTGAATGTCTGATGACAATCTTACCATTGGAGCTTGCGGCAGAGTGGGGCTGGCCCTGGAAGGTTCTAGAACGGGTGCCATACTGCCCTGAGAACTGTCCACTCTGGGGCGGCAGTTCATTCCACGCGCCACGTGAAGACGGGTGGAGGCTCTGTGGGGGCTCAGCAGAGGAGTTCAGTCGCGGAGGCCAGACTAAATCCAAGTCCTGGGGCTCTTCTTTCAGCTTCTCTCCTTCTTTGCCAACCCGCTGATAGATTCGCCCGGCACTGTCATTCAGCAGTCTCCTCATTCCTGTAATCTGTTTTTTAATTTCCATGCTTTCATCTCCTAATGGAAAGAGGGCCAAAGTCAGCACTTGTAAATTAGTGAAAGAGAAAAATAGTCCACTACCAAATAAAAAGCAAAAACCAAAAAGCCAACCCTTCTTTGGAAATGGGAACGATGGTAGATTCTATAAACCTAAGTCATACATAAATATCAGAGGCAGAAAAACCGGCTGTGGTCTGAAGAAACCGATCATATCCCGGGCACATCTCATTTTAATCTCTTTCTGGTTAAGTTCTCTTGGGATAAAATCGGTTTCTTCCTAAGGGGGTGTCACCAGGGACAAACTTGAATTTCCTCTTTAGAAGCATTCTCTCACTACCGGTGTCATAACAAAAGAGGTTGAGACACAAGGCCCAAGATGGGGCCTGAGGCCAAACCCTTCTGCTCTGATCAGCCACCGACCATCCACCTGTAATAGAACCTGAGGCCCGGCAGGAAGCTAAGGAGTTACACTGGGCTTGGGTGCTAATCTCAGCAGGCACGTTCACGGCCACCCCAGCATCAACCAGCTGGGCTCCAGCGATGTTTCTGCTTCAGCCTTCCGAGTAGCTGGAAGGATGCGTGAGGCTTGCTGGGCTAAGGACTTTTTGAGAACAGGCTGCAGGGCACACCGGCAGCACTCCTGACAGGCAGTCCCCCAGGATGACACGCAGTTGGTGGAGACACCTCCAGAGGGTGACAGGCGAGACGGATGTGTCGAGCGTCAAGTGTGGCAAGTGAGGGGGGCTTTGTCTTTCCAGTGCCCTGACTCACATTCTATCAGCCCAGTGACGTCCGAGGAGTACCGGCGCACTCCAGGTAACCGGCTGCCCTACCACCAGAAGGGCGGAAGTGCAGCCTCACAGCCCTTCCTTCCACCCCCACCACTACGTGCCTCATTGCCCTAGGCCTGCACAGGCCAAACCCACCATCCCGGATGCCCACACCAAATCCACTGCTCCCTCCCCTGCAGAAAAGGTAACAGACTGTTTCCAAATAGCACCTCGCCTATACTGACTTCCTTTATTAAGATTACTTTTCCTTCAGGAAATTCTTTGTTAAAGTATTTCTACACTGCACCAGGGGTATTTAATAAATACTACTTTAAGATGACTATAAAATTTTACAGATGGCCGGGTGTGGTGGCTCAAGCCTGTAATCCCAGCACTTTGGGAGGCCGAGGTGAGAGGAATGCCTGAGCCCACAGGTTCAAGAACAGCCTGGGTAACTCGGCGAGACCTCATCTCTACAATAAAATAAAAAAAAACCAGGTATGGTGGTTAACCGGGTATGGTGGTTCGCGCCTGTAACCGGGTATGGTGGCTCGCACCTGTAATTCTGGCTACTTGGAAGACTGAGGCAGAAGGATCACCTGGGCCTAGCAGGTAAACGTTAGGGTGGCTGTGAGCATGCCACTTCACTCCAGCCTGGGCAATGGAGTGAGACTCCAACTCAAAAAACAAAATTGTACAGATATAAAATATTTTCTATTAATAGTAACATTAGAGGATGCTGATATTTATTAGGAGCTATTTCAAACATTTTATCTTCTTAAACTGTGCATCAGTATCTTCACAAAGTTGAAGAAAAGTGGATTTTTTTTTTCCTTTAACCCTGATGTTAAAGTAAGTCTTATGCTGGGGTATGAACACACTCTCATGCAGTTGCTCTATAAATGCTTGAAATGTAAACTGTGAGAAAGAGAAAAGGCCAACAGAAAGTAACTATTAGGAAAAATACAGCTCCTGCAAATTCACCCAATGCACTTAACATGATAATGCTTTAATGCATTATCAGAATCACATAATCCAGATTTCTGTTTTTTTTTTTTTTTTTGAGTCAGAGTCTCACTCTGTCACCCAAGCTGGACTGTAGTGGCACACTCACAGCTATCCCAGCATCAACCCTCTGGGCTCCAGCGATCCTTCCGCCTCAACCTTCCAAGGAATTGGAACTACGGGTGCATGCTACTATGCCTGGCTAATTTTTTTTGATTTATTGTAGAGATGAGATCTTGTCAAGTTGCCTGGGCTGGTCTTGAATCTGTGGGCTCAGACAATCCACTTGCCTCAGTCTTCCCAAGTATTGGGATTACAGGCTGAGCCACCAAGCCCGGTCACATAACCCAGATTTCTATGTAGAACTGGCAACTGCACAATAACCTAGGTATTTTGTGTTATCTAGCTAGATATTTGGCTTATTAATAAATGTATTACATTACCAAATAAGGACATGTATGTACTATTTTGAAATCAGTATCTTCAGTTTTTAAAAATATTAATTCTACCTTTAATATCGAACATGCGTAAACACGGAAATGACACAGATGTCCAAATTTACAGTATTTCTTTGTGTTGCATATGCTTGAGAGAAGAAAAACTTTAATTTGTAATGAAATGATTTCTACTTCAAACACCTGTGAAAATCACAATCTAGAGACAATAAATCATATTCCAAATTTTATGAGAATGAATTACCAAGCATGATTTAAATAACAGAGAGTCAGCAAAATGTACAGCTTCCTCAAGAGGTCTATGGAACAGGGTGTGCCTGAAAGAGCTCCCAGAGGAATCCTGAAAGATAACTCACAGGCAAGCGCGGTGTTCATTTCAGCATCCACACAAAGGCTAGTCGCTGGTTAACAGCACAATTCGGGCAAGAGGAAGCATCTCTCCTGCACGGTTTCTACCCTCAACCCTCTCCATCAGGTTGGTCACACCTGTATCAAAGGCTGCGCACAAACTGGTCATCGGTGGTGCAAGCTGGTGGCCACCTCCCGCGTCCCTCGAGGCTCTCTGGGAACAACCACCATAGCCGAGCCATGCAGGGGCGGGCACACCACCCAGGCTTCAGTCGGTGCCAGCTCGCTTTTTCATGCTAACCCTGACACACCGCAGGAAAGGGGGTGCGTCTTTTTTCAAAGGTTCCATCTCTGCTGTGCAGATAGAATTCTAGGATAAAGCACTAGCATTAGGAGAAGGAAAAAGTCACAAGGATTCTGGAACCTTCTAAGGGTGAATCTGCCATGTCATGACCTTCATTTCAGAGTTCCACAACTTATGCTTGTGAACATTACGAGACTGAAAATACTGCCTGAGTTTGGTGTAACTTGATATTTTCATGTTGACCCACAGCCACAGGTGAGACAGGGAAGAAGGTGACAGGCAGGAGGTAGTAGTGGGCTATCCCTCCTTCCAAAGGCAAAACAAGTAACTAAACAACAACAAAATCTGGGGTGCTGGGAAGGAAGAGAGCAAAAAACCAGGATTAAGTCTGACTCCACAAGGAAGAGCGCTCACGGCCCAGCTCACTGGGGGACACTTTAAAGGACAAAAAAGAGACCAGCACCTCCGAAGGTGCCACCTTGGGGGAGGAGGTCCTGGGCTCCACAGTAGGGAATGAATGACAGGCTTCAGCAGAGGGAAGGAAAGAGGTTTCCTTGCATACTTGGGACAGATGGGGCAAAGGATCAGAAACGAGGCCTGGAGACTCAAAGTTGCAATGACAAAAAAGGGCAGTGGCTGAGTTGCAGAGGGTCGGACAGCAGCAGCTGGTAAGGGACAGTGGCTGGCAGGGCTGGCATTCCTGAGACCCGGACTCGCTTCTTCACTGTGCTATCAGACAAGTCACTTAATATTCTCAGACTTCGGTTTCTTGAAGGGTAAAGTGAAGGTATTAACCATACCTTGAGGGGTACACAGAAGGCGTCCAGAAGGGACTCAGGATTTTCAAGCCACTGATGTGTTAACAAGCACCTAACGCCTTTAGAAGTCTTGTATCCTTTTCAGAAGATGGGCTGTTTCCATCACAGTGGAGCCCAAGTTCTTTGATTTTAACAAAAAATGGTGTAAAGCACATAAGAGACAGAGATTGAAGGCGCCAACTGACTTCTATTTGTCTTTCTAGTTCTAATTAGTCAATGTCTTCTTCATGTATAGATACCAAGAAAAGGAAGCTCTTAGGAGCAATGAATTCACTAGAGAAGCAGAATTCGAAAAAGAAACCTGTACAATTTTCCTGATTTCTTTCCAAGCCTACCTATCTTTTGTTGGTTTGCTTTGTTTTGAATAGAGACAAGTTCTTTCTCTGTTACCCGAGCTGGAGTGCAATGCAGCCTTGAACTCCTAGGCTCAAGCAATCCTCCTGCCTCAGCTCACTGAGTAGCTAGGACTACAGGTATGCGCCACCATGTCTGGCTAATTTTTTTATTTTTTTGTAGAGACAGGGTCTCACTTTGTGGCCCAGGCTGGTTTTGAACTCCTGGCCTCAAGTGATCCTCCCACCTCGGCCTCCCAAACTGCTGTGATTACAGGTGTGAGCTACAGTGCCTGTTCCCAAGCCTAAGTTTTCACTTACACTCAACTCCAAAAGGCTGAATCTTTTTAGGAAAAACAAACAAAAAGAAATCTTACTAAAATGAATTCATGCCACGTGACTACCTTATTGGTTAAAAAACCTTAACTGAGGCTGAGGTGAGTGGATTGCCTGAGCCCGTGGGTTCAAGACCCGCCTGGGCAGGTGAGAGCTCATCTCTACAATAAATAAATAAAAAAATTAGCCGGGCGTGGTAGCACGCGCCTGTAATTCCGGCTACTCGGAAGGCTGAGCGGAAGGATCGCCAGAGCCCAGCAGGTCGAGGCTGCGGTGGCCGGGAGCAGCCACTGCACTCTAGTCTGGGGGACAGAGTGAGACTCCAACTCAAAAAAAAAAACAAAAAAAAAACCCTTAACTGAAATCCTTTTGGGAGTTTAGTAGCTATACTTCTTGTTCAAGGTCAGTCTAAAAGAGACTGCAGGCTGACTTTTCCCCTTCACTCAATTTCAAGACTCTACTGGATGGATCACTCTCCTTTACATAAAGAATTTATATGATACACAGTCTTGCAGGATCTGATAAACACGAGAACACGGAAGTCACCCTACAAGGTCTCCTTTAACTTGGCCAGGAGAAGACACTCTATACACAACATGATTACTCACATATAATCATGATGAGGCCGGGCTTGGTGGCTCAGCCTGCAATCCC